ATGCGATAGGGTAGACTAGACTTTCATGGCCGATTACATATCTAGGAGTTCCTTAGGAGGTAATCCTAGGAGTAAATCATTTAGGAAGGTGTGTTTAATAAAGTTGTTAAAATACTGGAGTCTTCTAACCATGATAAACCTTCTAAATTTCTTGGAACCTATTCAACTTAACACCCAATCAAACATTATGACATGGACCCTGGAACCTTCAGGGTTATTCATTTGCATCATTTCCAAACCTAATGGTAATCCAAGATACAAGGCCAAAGAGTTCTGGAAATCTCCTCTTCCTTCTTAAGTCAAAGCGTTCACTTGGACTGCCATTCATTAGAAGTTAAACACTTATGAGATGCTTCAAGTTCGCTGACCTCATCGAGACCTGTCTCTAGATATATGTGTGATGTGTTTTGTATGATGAGAGATGCACTAACATCTATTCTTGCACTGCAGTACATCTTGGAGGTTCTGGATAAAATTGTTGAAGTTGGTTTAAGTTGGGTGACGCCCCCGACAACGGAGGCGTTCATAGTTGTTTTTTGAAAGGGAATGGACTGCAGGTATGGCTAAGCCCCTTGTGAGAGGTGCAATATTTCCTATCCTTTGGAGCATCTGGTTTGCAAGGAATCGTCAGATTTTGAATGGCCATACCACCCCTTTCCAAGAGCCGTAGAAAGAGCCATTTTTTGGGCTACATTGTGGGTTCAAGCCCACTGTCATTATTCTACTATTAGCATCACTGATCTACATCGAAATTGAGAAGTTTTTATTTCTAAGAGCTAGTATTTTGTTTTGTATGCATTTCTTTTACTTTTCTAGCAGTGGAGGCTGTCTTATTCTCCTTGACTGTATTCTTTTTTCCCTTCTCTATTAATAATACTTATTGGAAAACAAAATAATGTAGTACCTCGACTGAATGCAGAATCGAAGCATAAGAGTTGCAACGTAGCCATGTGTCAACCTATGTAGATATATCAAACAATCTCATTCACAATTTTCAAGCCACATAGCACTCAAGGAATAGGTGGTTATTTTTCCCCTTTCCATTCCAATCATATAGCTATTTCTTATTAGGTAGTAATTATGCACAACTAGTAAACATAAAAGAAAACAAGATAAAGAAAATAAAGAGAACCTGCATGAAGTTGTAGCAATCACATAGCTATTTCTTATTAAACAGAAATTATGAACTAGTAAATGTAAAAGGAACAAGGTAAAGAAAATAAAGAGAACCTGCATGAAGTTGTAGCGCTCTCTCCCGATTGATTCGTTTTCTGCGATGGCAAAGTATGCTAGAAGAGGGTAATGTCCAATGTATGAGGCATAGCTATCACGTTGAATATTCACTGCCCACTCACTAAAAACTCCAACAAAAGCATGTTTAAAAAAGTCAGAAAGTAAAAAAATGAATTCTTAAAAAAAGGGAACAAAACAGGTAACTCACAATCTATTCAAATCCGCATGCCCAGTTCCCACATATTTAGCTTGGAGGTGTTCAAGCTGGGAATTAATGTTAAACCTATCACTTGCCTGCAAAGACACTCATAACATCAATTCCACCATTAAGGACAGATATATCACTACTATAAAACTGGGAAAAAAGATGCAACTAGATCATTGCTTATACATTTCTAAATTTGAGATACACCAACAGTCACAAGAATGAGCAGGAGACGAAAAGATATGAATTGATAAAAAAATATATATATTATTTATGAGTTCACTGCAGAAAGCGAGTCCAATTTCTGTTGATTGGGAGGGAAATAATAAACACAATCAAACGAGAAAAGAAAGTACAGGATTTTAAGTTAAGGGCTAAGAAAAAAATTTTAAACACGAGATGGAGGGCAGCGTAAGATGCAATAAATAATTAGGGTTTCGTCTTCACTTAGAGAAAGATTACCTGCATCTTTCGCCTTCTAGGAACGACAGCGACGAGCTTGAAGAGATGATAAGAAACAAAACCACGCCCACTGAAAGAGCAATCTGAGAGAGAATAAATGGACCGACAGTCTTGTGATCGAATGAAGCCTGACTGAGCCTCCGTCTGTTCGCGGAGAGCAAGAGAAGGTTTAGTTGAACTACTTATATATTTAATTATATAATTACTAAATAATTTTAATATAAAAATAAAACTTAAATAGTATAAATTTCTAATAATCTCAATAATTATCAATTACTATATATATCATCGAAATTATTTACATCTGATATTAAATAATAATACATTAAATCAAATTCTATTTTTATATTTAAAAATTTCAAATAAATAACTATTTAATTTTATTTGTATCTTTTAAATTTTAAGTAAATAATAATATTTAAAATTTTATTTTGATATAATATATAACTATAATTAGTATTAACATATTATTTTTATTTTTTAGGTTTAAAAAAAGGGAGCAAAATATAACTTTTTTCTGGTATTACTTACATATATTAATATATTGTTAATATGATTGATTACATGAAATACTAAAAAAAAAATCAAATTAAAGTTTCTTCTACATATTTTTTTAAAAAATTATTGTATAGTTTCACAAAAGTGTAAATTTGCAGTAATGTGGGGTTTAGAGTGGCAAAGCTCTAAGTTATATTCTCTATGTACCGTCCTTAAATAGTTAATTATAAACAAATTAATTTTAAAAAATTAATAGTCAAATATAAATTAAATTTTATTCTTATAGTTTGAAAATTTTAAATAAACAACAATCAAATAGATAATTATTATATACATCATTATATAAATTTTATTTTTATATTTTAAAATATATAAAAATTTATTTTTTAAATTAATTTATTTTAATTTAATGTGGAATTATAAAAAAAAAATAAATTAGGGATAAGATTAAAAATAATTTTAGTAAAAAAGAGATAGAAACTTAGGTTTTATAGTGTTTTTAAAAGAAAAATTAGAACAAAAACGTCAAAGTGCAAATAAAAAAATTTGGTCATATAAGACCGCTCAATCAGCAGTCTCGACGAATCGGAGTGCGCAGCATCGCAAGGCACGCTGACTCAGTGCTGCGCAAGAGGCCACGCTGGTGATCCGCGTGTTCCACAATCAGACGACCCAGGAGCGATTCCGTATGCGTGGACGGTTCGGATCCGTTTCTCCCTTATGTGCGATCGGACGGTCGAGATCAAACTCGATGAACGGTCTAAATTTGTTTTCTCGTTAAGTGCGATCGAACAAATGAGATCAATCGTGATGGACAGTCCAGATTAATGCGATATTAGTATAAATATTTCGCATCACGCTGAACCCAAATCCTAACCACTAGCCCCCTACTGGAGAAGAAGAAAGAGACGCCAGAAAAGAGAGCCGACTGCTAACCGTCGCTACACCGAAGCCACCTCCGACTGCAAAAAAAGGTAAAAATTCTCCTACCCACTCGAAATTCGATTCCGAGCACTCCTGTAATCATATCGGAGCAAAACAAATAGTAGGTGAGCCAAAAACTACGGGCAAAGCCCGGGGGAGGTGCTGCGGGCAAAACCCGCAACCTCCTCTGATGAGTCCCTTCCCATTTTCCATATCATGCGATTTTTCTCATGTTGTGTTTACCGTTCTGTTTTTTATAG